CACACAATTACACGAAATTGCCAAAAAAAAAAAAAAAAAAAAAAAAAAGGTTGAAAAACAGCGTTACACAACAGTGTTGCACCAAAACGTGTTACGCACAAAGCGTAACATCCGCAGCCAATCAAAATTTGCATACAGGACTGACATTGATATTATGTTGATGACACTTGATGTTGACATCAATGCCGATGTTCACTTTGACGTCGGTGAGATCCTCAGTACTACAACGGGAAATGGGAGCCTCATCATCCAGAAAGGGCACCAAACCATCTGTACACTTCCGTCCTCCTTGCCCTCCATTTCCCCTGCAGTTTCCCTTGCAGTTGCCCTCCATTTCCCCTGCAGTTTCCCGACTTTCGCTGAGGCTGTGCACGAGGCAGCTCAATAGCATCATAAGGTTCCATAAATAAAGTGCAAAATGTTATGAAGTAACATAAAGTTATAAACTGATTTACAATCCATCCCAAGCAGTGCTCACAGTCGCAGACATCGAGGGACTACTACAAGGTAGTAGTCCTTTTAGTCACAGACATAGAGGAAATGCTCTACAAGGAACTTTTTCTCCGCAGAGTCGCAGACTCTTTTCATGTCTGCGACTTAAAGACACACAACATCGTCAGCATGGGCCGTGAGGCTGGGAGGCTACCAAGGCTACCAAGCAAACACAAGAGAGATACCCAAGGGAAGAATACAAGAAAAGAAGGGGAGACAACAATTCAGCCCCTCAGATGCATTTTTTTTTTCTTTTCGAGACAATGAATTCGACAGCGGCTTTCTTGCAAGACAGCCCAGCAGAAACGGTGGACCCAACAAAGGTGCGCACTAAGGGAGCCCACCCACAAAAGAAATCACACTGATATTGTGGGACCACACCTAATCATTCCTCCCCTGCTTCGCCCTCCTCCTGCTTTCCCGAATTTGCCACACCTGCAAGGCAAAAGCCTATATGAAGACCCCCCCCTGCTATTTCATGGAAATTTACACCTGCACCAATCACAGGCCCTCTGGGCCCCTCCTCCCCCCCCCCCCTTGCTCTGCAAGGAACGGCACCTGCACATGCCGAGCCGATAACAACAAAGTTCTACCACATATGCAGCACTCTGGACAACACACTGAGTCCAGTTATTTCCTTACCAAGTTCTGCTGACTCATCAGCTGACTCCTCTCATCAGCTAACTCCTCAGCTGACTCATCGGCCTCACTCTCAGGAGAGTGAGGTGGTACCCAATGGCACATGCTACTGACAAACAGCAACTTTAGACTGTAATACCGTATCCATCATTTCCACAGACGTTGCAGAAAAAACGTCTTCTTCTTCTTCTTCTTCTTCTTCTGAGCTTTAACAATTGATTTCGCAGAAAGAGTCCCCTAGATCTAAACATTGATAGCTGCTTGTTAGAGGGGAAACGTCCTTTGTACTACTTACTAACTAGTCTACAGACTCTACACAACCCAAGCAAATCTCTTCGTAACACTTAATTTGGCATCTCAAGGTCCGCCGATGGCCATGCCTTTCTGGCTGCATGTGTCTCCCCTGACCAGCCATCCGCTCTACACAGCAACAGACGACACGATGAATGATGACCTTCACTCGCCAGCATGAATCAATGTTGGCACTTCTGCTGTCCTCCCACCCACACCCCACATTGATTTATCGGGGGAAAACACTTCCCTCCCTGAGTGCTCGTCTTGTAAGAAAACCGCCTGCTACTCGCCAGCCATTCAGACCGATGGCAATTCATAACTCACTCGCATGAAGATAATCTTAGAGTCAAATTGTTGCACGGCGCACGAAAGCAGACAAAGGCCAGGGAGGGAAGGTAGATGTGTCGAGAGGAGGAGGAGGAAGAGGAGGAGGAGGTGGGGATTTGACGCAAGAGAAAGACAGCGAGGGGGAGTGAAGAGTAACTAGTGAAGGACCTGAAGGGCGCAACGGGAGGGTGCAAGTGCACCGAGGAAACAAGAGACGTATGCAATCTGGGGGAGAGAGAAGGGAGAAGCGAAATTCCAGGGAAGGGAGAAGCGAAGTTTTGTGGAAGAGAGAAAGCGAAATTTTGTGGGAGGGACAACTGAAATTTCGTGGAATTTGAGAAGGGAGTCCGACTGAGACTGTGAAAGGAAATGGATGGAACTGGGTGAGATGCAGATCGATTTTCGTGAGAAGGTTCAGAGCAACTTTTTAAAATGGTGCAGAAACGAGCTCTGCAGAAGAACACAGGTGTATATCATGCTTACTTCCACACTTGCAATAAAATTTTGACTAGCTTGGAAAGGGAAGAGTGACTGCATGCTCCTAACTAGCAGAGAGCCGGAGATTACGTCCACAACTCAGCCATGCTTGAATCAGAAAAATCAATCAGTTTCGGAATGTACTATATGCAAAGGATTGATACGAACTTATACGAACTTAAGAATCATAAGAAAGTATATGCAGAAAGCCAACAGTAAAGCCTTCGGCGATCCATAATTACAGTGGCAGAGAGAGATCGTCCAGAGGTAAGAATCACACCTGCAGATCCGGATGATACACCCTGCTCCTCCTCCCAACTACTCCTATGGGGATTGCAAGCGACAGAGAATGGTGGTTGGATATACAAACGGACACGGTATGTGGAACGGTTGCCTACTACCACGTGGATGATGATCTCTCTCTTTCTCTCTCCCTCCCTCCCTCCCTCCCTCTCTCTCTCTCTCTCTCTCTCTCTCTCTCTCTCTCTCTCTCTCTCTCTCTCTCTCTCTCTCTCTCNTCTCTCTCTCTCTCTCTCTCTCTCTCTCTCTCTCTCTCTCTCTCTCTCTCTCTCTCTCTCTCTCTCTCTCTCTCTCTCTCTCTCTCTCTCAACGAGTATATTAGACTCCATCTCTCTGAAGCGGGTCCCACAAGATTCATAAGAAATGCAAGAAATAAAAAAGGTGCAGAATCTCTTTTCCGTCTTCGTTTGCAGTGAAGCAGGCAGACTGAGGATGGAGTGCCCCCACGTGGGATAGTGCCTTTGCAGCAGTTTCTTTCGCTGCCATGGTTCCGACCTTAACTTCGATCAACGAGGGATGTGCCAGTGTCTTGTACTCCTCCATGTACTCGTCGACACCGAACACAACTTCCAGCAGGCCCACTGCCTTCTCCCTGGCAAGAGGTGACCCATGCATGAGCATGTGCACAATAGGAGGAATTGCTTGTTCCTCTACCAGAAGCCGAGCAGCTCTCTCACTCCCGTTCCGATGCTGAGTGATGAGGACAGTGGAAAGCCCCTGAAGTCAAGCCTCCACCAATGCCGGTGTTTTCTCGTTGAGGAGACTGACGACAGATTTGAGAACGCCTGCCTTGATCATGCAGAGAGGACGGTCCGGGTCACAAACCCCGCCATGCAAACGAAATTCATCTTCCAGCACAGCAGTCATAAAGAAACAACAGCGCTTTTCGGGCTTGATTTCTCTCGACAATGCTGCTGCACCAGCAGAGAAATTGCCAATCACTTTTGCGGTACGAGCTCGGCTGAGGTCCGAACAAATGCTGAGGAGCACCCCCAAAGTATTCACCAGACCCATTTCAACAACCCTGATCTGCAGTGAAGTAGTCAGATTGACGATGGAGTTCCCCCATGCAGGCAAGTGCCTTTGCAGCAGTGTCTTTCGCTGTCTTGGTTCCGTCCTTTAGTACTTCAATCAATGAGGGAAGCGCCAGTGGCTTGTACTCCTCCATGTACTCGTTGACACGGAACACAACTTCCAGCAGGCACACTGCCTTCTCCCTGGCAAGAGGCGACCCATGCATGAGTATGTGCACAATAGGAGGAATTGCCTGTTCCTCTACCAGAAGCCGAGCAGCTCTCTCACTCCCGTTCCGATGCTGAGTGATAAGGACAGTGGAAAGCGCCTGAAGTCCAGCTTCGACCAATGCCGGTGTTTTCTCGTTCAGGAGACCGACGACAGATTTGAGAACGCCTGCCTTGATCATGCAGAGAGGACGGTCTGGGTCACAAACCCCGCCATGCAAACGACATTCATCTTCCAGCACAGCAGTCATAAAGAAACAACAGCGCTTTTCGGGCTTGATTTCTCTCGACAAAGCTGCTGCACCAGCAGAGAGATTGCCAATCACTTTTGCGGTACGAGCTCGGCTGAGGTCCGAACCAACGCTGAGGAGCACCCGCAAAGTATTCACCAGACCCATTTCAACAACCCTGAGCTGCAGTGGCTGATTCTCAGGGCATGTAAAGCGTTGAAAAACACCCAGAGCATTTTCCAAGATGACCATGCCGACGGCCGCCCTTCGGTCTGTGCCCCTCGTGCGCATCCATAGCCTGCCAAGAATCAGTTGCCCACCCTGATACGGTTCCAAAACCGGCCGGGAAGATTGGAATCCCCCTTGCTTCAGGACATCGATGCTGTCCACGCAGATACGGTAAAGTGGAACCAAAGCTTCTGCTTCTAGCATCAATTTCGTCACCTGGTCGTCATTCACTGGCAAATCCGCAAGAATCCCAGATGCCGCTGCGCGCTCCTCTAACGGCCTGTCGGGATCAAGCGCATCCACTAGCAATTTCATTCGCTGTTGCGATTTAAGACCGTCTGCAACCTCTTTGCTGCCATGTTCAGCCAGCATCCAAAGCACCTGCATCGCACTGTTCCTGAGCTGCCCGGTGGTTCCCATCAATTCCATTGCTGCCCGCACAAACCCTGCTGCCCGCATCCTTTTCTGCACTTGAACCGCCTCCGGAAGATTTCCCATCCCAATTCCAAGCATTGTATTCATTATGTTTGTTTGTATCGTGTAGTTATCTGAGTGCCTCTCCGAGAGAAGTTTGAGCATCTGACCAATAGCCTCACTGCTCTCCAGAGCTAGCGTCTCTGGTTGACCAGAACCCCTTTCTGCGTGTGCGCCCCGGACAGGACCCAACCCGACCGCCTTCCGCTTTCTGAGCGCACTTACCAGGTTCACCAACAACGATGACAGCAGCTCTTTGAGAGGAGCAAGAGCCGGGGAATTCCGGCACAGCGCTGCAAGAATCGCCGGCAGTAAGCCCGCATCAGCTATGCACACAGCATTGGCATCAACGGACGACAAGCTGAACAGGAGCCGGATGACAGAGTTCTTCAATGCCATGCTTGGCGACGACAGGATTTCGGATAATATTGGCAACATACCTCTTTCAACCAGTTGGATTTTCGATTGATCTGTCAGCCGCATCCGGCAAACTTCTTCCAAGATTATCTCTCTGTCCTTATCAGTCCCTATATCATCCACAACAACCCACCCGTCATCGACCCAAACACATAAGTCCTCATCGACCCAAACACATAAGTCCTTCACGGAAAACACACCCCCGTACAAAAGGGGAGAAAGGGACAGGGGGGTAGAAAACAATCTGAAGCCTACGACACCTCAAGTCGAGGTTTTGATTATCCAAGTTCTCACGGAACAACGAGCAGGCCAAACCCACCGCTCGCTTCTAAAGGACTGTTTGTGGACAAACATCGTTGTGTAATGACCCGTCAAAACACAGACTGAGAACACTGCTGATTTCTGAAGTTCTGCCGATGGAATGGATGCCTTGCTGAGATTCCCGCATTCTGCTGTGTTT